AATCATTCGTATAATCATAACCACCAATAATTCATGAAAATTCTAACATTCATCTATCTAAAAGTCAAATATATATTACACTATGATAGATCTTCATGAACTTAGTTAGTAACAAAATTTCAATCTCAAAAAAAACATAACTCTGTTATTGTTTTGCTTATTGTGTCATTTATGATTATTATTATTCTGTGACTAATAAAGGTAATAATTTCTTATATGAATGGCTTTTCTCAACTATTAGTTAAAACGTTTATTTGTGATAAGCATGATGAAAACTATTTCATGGTAATATGTGCATATCTATCTATCTATATATATATGCGCTCATTTGTGTTTTGTATTGAAAAACAAATTAGTTTCAGCAGCTATTTATTGATTTGGTAATCAGATATCGATTCAATCTATACACATGATAATATGAATCATGCCAGTATATTTGTGTATGACTTACTTTATGTGTTTCTAATGATGTTTTGATTTATTATCTAGACAAATAGTAGTGTAAGTATTACACTTATTGTTATCATGATCCGTTACCGCTAAAACTGACTTATTGAATTCTACTTTATTAAGAATCAATATTGGAAGAATCTTTGAGTTATTCAATGAATATTAGTTGTCGTTATACGTTGATTAGAAAAAGAGTAGTTTCTTTTGGAATATTACCGTTATTATTCAAGTTTTTTAACGGTAATGAACGTATACTGGTAAATATTGGTTAGAAATTATTTATTTTCACTGAATAAATGAATATTTTAAAGTGAAATGTTTTTAATTTGCTACTGAGATTAATTTTAACCGGTTAAATAAATCAGTAGAAATGAAGATTATTTTCCAGAAGATTCGTTAGTTCTCTATTATTTTAACATGCGTTGAATCTGTTCAGCTCGTGAATATAGAATGCACACCTAATAGATTATGATTGGCTCTAAATTCAATTCAAAAACAAGAGTGTTCCAACTGTGTAACCTCAAAAAATGATGACACTTTAAAAAATGGGAATTCGCCCAAAATAATGAATCCAAAATTATTCAATTGTAACCAGTGTAAGTTAATACAGAGCCAAACTAAACAATGAGAATAAAGTATGTGATACGTGCAAACAGAAACTAGATACACTATTGAGTGGATGGTATATACTGAACAGTGTAACTGACTAATTTGTAATATACTACTTTTTGGATGTAATTGGGTTTTGTTTTCCTGATCGTACAAATCTGTGTAACCTAAAACTTACAACCTAGTTGTTAAATGTTATATACTTGTTAGAAATTAAAGATAATAAATCCGAATCTGCACATTATTTACTATCAAATTTTTCTTTCATCGTACACACCTTATTTTCAAAATGAACACTAATACTTCCAGTGTTACATCTTGAATTCGAACTCCAACCCATCTACCCATGTATTGTTGGTAGTCACGATACGGAAAATATAGACCGAATGTGTACATCAGCCTGTATATCGTTTCTGAGTTTTGTTTAAGAAGCAATTCTAGACTTAGTCTGTGGTTAAAGACCATAGATGCCATGTCCCTGATTTATTTTCAGTCCCTTAAATGCATTCTTGACTTCTCTGAAATTTAAGTTTAGTGCTTTTTTGTACATTGTATTATCTGATTGCAGTTCTTCGTTTCGAACAAGATTTCTTATTAGTGACGGTTTGCAATTTATCGTTGTTGGTATTAAAATCGCGCTCATACAGCACTTATCCCGACCGTTGCTGCTACCTTAACGTGGTGGTCGGGCTTGCCTGTCGTAATGAACCAATCGCTTTTATCATGCCAGACAAGTCGGTTGAAGAGCGGTAAGACTAAAAGCGACAAAACTAAGGTCCGAAGGCGAAGTCGTATTTCTGATTGTACAGAGATGTGACGGCAGTAAGGTGTTTCCTTCAGACAACCAGCATAACAACGATGCTGCCTTCCCACAAGGAGGGGTAGGTTGGAAAAGGTCGACCCTAAAAATCCACACCTCTCCTTATCCCACGGATTTCCTTCTCCGGCGGTAAGGTCTCTACAAGTACGGTGCTAACACGAAAACTACTCACAATAAGGTCGTGTATGACCAATTTCAAGCAGTTATCTCTTGGGTATTGCTGTCATGTTCTCAGATCACTAAGACCACTTCTAACCAAATTTCCTTTTCAGGTACCTCTAGAGGAACCCTTCCACAGTGTGGGCAACCGGGTAATGATAACCGCCCTCATACCTCTAACAACAATCAAGACCACTGTTTTCATAATCAACCTCCTTATTCATTTCCTATTATTCCTCCTACATCGACTTTTAACACTAAACTTCCTCTTTTGGCTTCTTCAGAAAGCTAAGCACTCAGACATATTAATTTTAGCAGGTGATTTTAATGATCAGGTAGGTAGAAAGACATTTAGGTGGGTGTTTTAGTATTCCAGCCCAGCGAACAGATAATGATGATCTGCTGCGACTATGTTCAGACAGTCGTTTATTTTTAGCAAGCACCAATTTTCAGCATAAAAAGAGACATCGTCTAAAATGGCGACCGCCTGCACCAAACCAACGGTGGACTCATATAGACCGTATTATCATCAGTCATTGTTGGAGAGGGTCGAAAGTAGACTGTCTCTCGTTCTGGAATACCCCTTTGGACTCCGTTCATTCTCTAATACGAGCACGCATTTGCTTGCGCCTCGCTGAACACACAAAAACCACATTAAGAAGACCCGTTACAGTTTAACCAAGTGAGGAGATAGTCAAAAGTAGATTCCAGGAAAAACTGAGGTCAGCTGTGGAAAAAGCAGTGACATGTATCAGTGTTTTTAACCAAGGAATCACGAAAAACCAATGGATTTCTTCTAAGTCTATTGCACTGATATATTCTCTTAAATTCATCCCATCAGGCTCTGAACACGATGAAGAGCAAAAACAAGTCAGATATAAGTTAACCAAAAGTCTAAGGAACGATTGTGAGCAGTGGTGGGCAACGAAAGCAAAAGAGATGGAAAAGGCGGCGGCTACAGGGAACACAAGACAGCTCTACAGACTAATAAAAGAAACTGGAGTTAATAAGTCAAGTGTAAGTTAGACTATTTTGGAAAAGGACGATACTCATCTGCTCCCAGTCCAGACGTTTAGGACGATGGGTGGAACATTTTAAGGTGCAGTTCAGCTGGTCTTCAGCTACTCTACAACTACCCACCATTCACAGACAGTGTGAATGGAACATTGAAGTAGGCCCCGACTCTAATTGAAATTCAAAAAGTTATAGCTAATCTGAAATGAGGAAGGGCAGCTGATCCAGATGGATTAGCTGCAAAGGTCTTTAATGATAGTGGTTCAGTTTTAGCGATTAGGTTGACTAATATTTTATCTAAAATCTGGAAGTTGGATATAATCTCATCTGACTAGTCGCTATCACTTATTGTCCCAATATATGATAGAAGATCAAAATCATCCTTTGATAACCATAAAGGGATTAATTTGGTTAATATAGCATCTAAATTGCTAGCTTCAATGATCATCGGACACTTAACAAAGACCACAATGCGCGATGCTGACTAGTTTGAAGACGGTTGGAAGGAAGTTAGGACGGCCAAACCAAAACGTGGCGTCAGTCCTTCGAGTCACTAACTTCTGCTCCGAGCCATGTTGGTAGGTTTAGATTACTTGGTTGGGTTCCGCGCGACTATCGCAACCAATGGTTGGAGACTGTGGGTGACATGTCTCAGAACCTATCACAGTGGCGTCGGTGTATACACATTTTGTCTTCCCTTAAACCGTGAGATTACAATTGCTTTATATGTTTCTTTCTGTGAACTAATTGTTTCTTCATGTATTATATCCTTATATGGAATCTTTCTTTAATATATTACTACCATTGAAATAACTATTTGTATGAATTGGGTGTTGACCTTGTTGTGCTATTGAGTTGTGGCAACTTGGACCGATGTATATATGTACGTGGTCCTACTTTGTAGCTGATTAACTGACTTAAGAACTTTGACGGATTAATCTTTTTCGATATATATGCATGCTGAACAGTTTGCTTTGAAGAACCTTTACTCACAAGTGACGGTTTTCTCGGTATGTGGCTAGCAGTGAAATTTAAAACGTGCGTTCATCCTATTTGTGAGTATTCATTTGGATGTACCTAGATCCTAGTGTTGATGTCCGCAGTGAAGTCGAACTCCAGAACTTCTTGGTTCACACACGCCCTACCTTCTAATATACTGGGTTCTAGTAGCTCAGTGGATAATGCGTTAGCGTTTGCACCAGAATACTGTGTTTGATTCCTATATTATGTTTATCTTCCTCTTGTTATCATCTTTTCTTTTCCTTCTTTCAAATTTCACTCATCGGGGTGATTCCAACTTTGGTAATATAAGGGTGTAAATTTTGCTGCTCGGTCCCATATTGTTTACAACTCAATCACAACTTATTTTACAAAAGTCTTTTTTTAAACTTGACCTAATATTGAATTTCAATTTATGCATTTTGCAATTACATGCAAACTAAATAGAAGTCAAATCGTTTAGTAGGACAGAGACGTTACATCAATAATTTTGTCATCATGGTGATTATTAAGCAGGTTAAGTGTGTAGACTATCCTTCCATTCTTATACATCGCTGAATACAATCATCATCGTTCCTCTCTAATTTGCAGTTACATTTTCATTTCACCCTCCGTTTTTTAGTCATGTTTGCTCCACAGGAATAATTTAATGATTTTTATCATACATAATGGAATTTACTGTTAAATTCACCAAATCAAACATTCAATTCATTTCTCTGAGTAAACAAATAAATTCGTTTTAAGCATTTTACAAAAATATTCATGTCATTTTATATTATGTCCTTATTAGAACAAAATTGTACACTTTCCGATTCAGGTTTATTCACTTGTATAGTTTTTGTATAAAAAAACCATTTTAACTGTAAACCAATTTGTAAATTGATTAAATTTATACTGTTTTTGTTTTGTATGTGTTCATGGCATATATTTCTCTTCATGTATGTTACAGTTTCGTCGGTGGTTTATGGCATATGGAACTTTCTAATAATTTTTTGATTATACCACGTGGTCCATCGATAAATCAATACTACTCCTCCACTCAGTTATGCTTTAATATCCAACTTTTTGGAGTTCACTTATCAGAGTGTTTATTTCCTAGTCAAACCATCACGACGACAAAGAAAGCAAATGAACTGAGGACACAAAATATAAAATTGGAATCATTTGAAGTTAGTTTAACTAAAGTTCTTAATTTTTTCGATCTAAAATTTTGTAATGATTTGTTTTCATTCACAACACACTTTACACTAGTAATAATAATACTTTTCAAAACGATATTAGACATATCACACATGAATTTTGATGATATGACAGTTAGACCACGTGTAAGGGAAATTATGTTTTTGTCTGACAAAGATACTCTCGTTTAGAAAACATTTTCAAACTTGCTGATTCTAATGTTCAGTCTATACTGTAGATTTTGTAGCAGTCAACTTTAAACCGTACTGTAAGCAGATTTTTCCATAGAAATTCGTATACACATTTTTTTTACTTTTTAACTGTAATGTTTAAATGAGTTGTTAGAAAATTTATCGTGCAGTCACTTTCGTCAGTGTCTCATTACTGTAGACTAAAATAAGAAATGTAATCAGTACCACGACCACGCAATCAGGTAATGGCTTCAAATTAGTATGCTATATTCCCTACTTATTATTGTGTTGGAAGAAACGTAAGGTCGGTTATACCACAATCAGATATAAATTCTTAGTGCTATTTGCTTAGGGGATGTACATGCTTCCTGACTGGTGTGTGCATAATAACCATAATATATTGCTGAAAGTTATCAGTTTCATGTCTTAGAATTAATTGTCATCAAACAACTGCATTCACTCTACTATCTTCACCTGAATCTTATTCTTTCTTTACTTTTCATTATCGACTCCTTATTTTCTCAACTTATCATCTTTTACCATACACTATTGTTATGATCTTCATTCGTCTAGTTTTTTTTCTCATTTATTTCATATTCGTTTGTTAATTATGGTGTGATAACGTAAAACAGTACACGTATGTCCCAGGTCCTGATTTACAACTGACTATCTATATGATTAGTAACAGCTAATTCTTTGGTTTGTGGTGTATTATATGTATCCGTATGATATCAGTCAGATTCCTCCTAGTTTCATACGCTTGTTCACTATCCTGAGAAAATTTTATTATGCCGGGACTTACCAGTTGTGTGTGTGTGAGATTTAAGTGAAATACAATTTAGTGGGATACCAAAGTCAATAAGAATAACGTAGTTCTAGTTTCTTTTCAAATTAAATCGCTTTGTTATTTTTTGGTTTAATAGACTAGAAATTTTTTAGAGAATAAAACTCAAGTCATCATCAAACGTGTGGTAAACTCAGTCAGACGTGATGCAATCGTTTACATGCCGTTTAGGTTTTCGGTGAAGCATGGATCTTCTTTTTTTCAATAATAATTACGTTTATTGCATAGTGCGTTTTGCTAACAACTGATTTGAAACTTGGTTTCAACGAAATGCTTTTTGACTCACCTCTGAATGTTAGGGTGATGTAGACAGGTTTTTCGGTTCCGAATTTGTAGTAGATGTCATATACTATAACCATCCCATCGATTTATAAATTCTATAGGATAACCGTTCTCCATCAATGTTAAATTCAGTAACCTCACTTCACTTTGATGGAGTTTTGTTCTCTGAGCTGGATGGTTTGGTCGTGTCATGGAGAAAATATAGTTGTTCTCGAGTGGAAGCCTGCCTTTTGGCGAAATTCTCCCATTTTCGAACAACGAGAAGCGTATTACGCTCATATGATTTTGAGATGGTGGAGAAGATTTGTAGCTCAGGTGCTACAATTCTTCTCCACCATCTCAATCTCACTTCATCATCAACGAATATGACCAATCCGATTAAATCGACCCTTTATCAAGCCCCTTTTATATTGAACTGTGCAATGGCTATGATAACTAAGATACTGTTTCACCCAAGTTGGCTTTCTAAAAATGTATCGCCCTACTGAAACATCTCTTCTACTTATAAATATATATAAGAAATGAAGCTGGTTATCGTCTTCATTTCCTCTTATGCTTCCATTCGTCTAGTTCACCATTTAATTTTTCACGTATAAATGTTCTCAATATGTATATATATGATAAGGTTGTTCGAAATGTGCTGCACTACCACGTAGTTCTGATAATCTTTATATTATTACACTATCCAAACAGATTTGTTGTTGCATATGATGATAAATGCAGTTCACTAGTTTACCTCCTATAGAAAGTTACACTATGTGATGATCTTATCATTTATTACCCTGATACAACAATGTCTTGTACAAATAAAGGTAATCATGAACAAATTTAATTAATCATAAGAGACCTTTTTAACGCTAATAAAGAATTTAATACATTGTCTACTATTTACATACACTGCTCAATTCGTCTTACAAGGTCATATTGTAGACAAAATGATGTAAGTAGAGAAAAAAGGTGGTGTTCCGGGCAAATTGGTAATAGAAAAAATTATATATGGCACAAAAAGCTACATGAATACAATACATAGTATGCTAATTTGAGATCATTGTACTTTTTGTATGTGCGTTTGTTCACAGTATCTTTAGATATGTATGTATCAATGAAGTTTCTGTGTATAGTGTGTCCACTTTGTTTTATTAATTAATTAGCGTCATCGTGTAAACGATGGTTTCCTACATCTTTTTTCATCATTTATATAATTATTATTATCACTTCTGAGTTCATTTGTTTTGGGTTGGTTTCTTTAGGGCTTTCTCAATGAGTTTGTAATTAGTATTATTCACACTATTACTATTATTGTTATTTTGTTCAACAGTAAAATTCAACTTCGAATGATTATCTTCTTTCATCGTTGTTGTTGTTGTAGACTGTGGAAATCTGGCACTTCTTAATGGTTTAACATTTATAGTTTTTGCTTTCAGTGATGGTTGTAGTGTCAATGTTGAGAAAGGAGGCAAAGATGAATGAAGAGATAAACTATTCACATTATTGTTCACTTCAGTATTATCTTTATTTGACTCAATATTCGTTAATATTTTATTAACATTCGATTTGATTAATTTTGATTTGTCGTTTAAAATGAATGGTGGAGGTGGCGGCGGTGGTGGTAATGGCAGTTCATAATCTAGTGGCCAATATTTGTCAGATTTCTTGTTTTTATTGAACTCTGATCCTCTTGTAGAATTATTGTTTTTACTTTTATTGTTAGTTTTGTTATCGGAAAATGTTTGAATGCTGTATGTATTATCCCCTGTTATTTTAAGCTTTTGATGTCTTGGTGGTCGTATTGGTCTATTATTATTATCATTATTATTATTACTACTATCATTACTATCAATAATATTATTATTAGTCCCAGTTAGTTGATTACTACAAGCAGGATGTGGTAGTGTGCTAGTACTATTATTATCAATAGTTTTCAAAGTGTTTGTAGGTGGCGGTTTTACTGAAGCAATCGGAGGTTGTTGTTGTTGCGGCGTTGAATTGAATGGATTCATTAATATCATATTGGGATAATTTATCGGCTCAATATGTATCAAGTCAGTGACGTATTCGTCAATTGGTGATTTTTTAGTGATCGATTTCATTTGATTACTGACTGATTCCCTTGTTGTCTCATTGGATGACAAAATTATTGACTTATTATCAATGTACTTATCATGGTACATTGGTAGATAATCTGTATGTTGTTTGATATGCTCTGGTTCTATGAATGGTGTAGCATATTCAGGCTCTTTAGGTAATAAGAAAAAAGGTTTTGGCAATTCAGGACCTATAAATTTCACATCACTTTCACTGTGCACTTGTCGTGGTTCCTGTTGTGTTGGTGTTGATAGTGGATGACTGTCTCTCTTTGACATTCGATCACGTTTCAACCATTTACATGTTTGTTCAATTTTACGTCGACTTGCAGACAACCAGTTATTTCTTAAGTTTATATTACTCTTCTCATTATTCTCTAGTCTAGCTCGTGCTGAAACTATTAATCTAGTTCTTCTAAATACACCTTTTAAGCTTGCTCTACTACTTGTTAGTATGGATTTTCCAGCCTTTATACTTGCAAAATCACTATTATCTAGACTCTTGTCTCTCCATGGTAGGGCACTACGACGAATGCTACCAGTCGATACAGGAGAACGTTTCTTTTTCGTATCATAATGTCTTAATAAATTAATTGGCGCTTCTGTCGGTTGTTGCATTGATTGCTCTTCCATCTTCTTCTTGGCTAATTGTTTAGCGCTTCTTCGTAGATTAAATGGAATCATTCCGGTTGATGAATGTGTTGGTAATTCAATCCTTGTATTCTGATATAAATCTCCTATACTTCTACTTTTACGTGGTGCAGGTAATGGTGGCAGTAGAGCATCAGGTGGCTGTCTAAGTGCTCTCACTGACTGATTATTATCAATCTGTAAAAGAGTTTGGACACTTGCACTCGCCTGTAAAGGTTTTCCATGTATATAAGTGCTTCTCTGACTATTCCGTGCCCGCAGATGAGAATTAACTAATAAATCTGGTTGACTATGTTTTCTTACCTGTAAAATTGATTTTTTCTCATCATCGGAGTATTCAGAAGCACGATTCGATTCAACAATATGAGATCTTTTTCTTTCTCGGTTTCTCTGTGTTTTACTCTTAAATATAGATTCCTTGTCGGTATCATTAATGTTGATAAGTCGATTCAACGATTGTGTTTCTAAATCAGTAATACTTTGATTATTCAAATGTTGTACATTATCTGCATGATTTGCAAAAATACTGTTTTGTGTTTCATTACTATCTTCCCTTCTATGTGATTTTGGTCTCATTAATTGGTGACCAGTTTCATTTGTTTTTGAAATACAAGGTAAATGTTTCATTGTGCAACCACAAAATGAACATTGTTGTCGTCTATTATTTGTGCAATTACTACATGATGTAAATAAATTACAACTGGATGATAAAGAATAACATTCAATTTTTTTAAGTGATTCACTTACTTTATTTAATCGTTTATTCATGAGTTTTCTATGTTTGACGGATGATGATATCATGTATTTGTGATGTGTATTTCGTTTTAATCGTATACATAACCAAATAATAATGATAATGCTGATGATTATAAAACATAACGCAGCTATTCCAGCTAAAATAATTAAAGTGTATGCTTCATTCGATATTGTTGTTGCAT